GTGTGTTCTTTGTCCAGCTAAAATTTCAGATGGATTAGTCACCTTAATATCTACCTGGTAGAAGTGGGTGACTCATTCAGCAAAACTGAGTTGTCATCGATAAACATTTTAATGAATGGGATGAGTTTGATTAATCCTTCTACCCACTTAATGATATTTTAAGACTTTTAAAACTTTTTAACCACTCAACAGTCTCAATTACTTTCTAAATCAGTGTAATGTGCATGAGGTTGACACTGCGGGGCAGCATTTCAAACATCCCCAGGCTGAGAGTTCAGCTTGCATGAACTCAGTATCCAACCTGCAAAGACAGGATGAACATTATTTCTCTGGTAGTTTCTCTTGATTGGTCAGAGGCCCTCCACCCGATTATTAGGCCTCAAAGCCTGGTATTTTCCTGCTAAGAAGCCCGACTCTGCAGCCTGCAGCCAGCCCTCCCCTGCCACTTTTGCCATGGAAAAGGAGGACTTCCTTATCATGCTTTCTCGTTATATCTACAGAGGTCTGTTTTAGGACGGTGAGGCTTTTAAACTTTATTCGTGTAAACATCGCTTCCCGCTGTTGACAGAATCAATTTTCCCCCTGTGCCAGAGCCGGTGCTATCAAAACTGAGCCCCTTTTCAGAGCACGGATTACTGGGATGGCCTGGGGGTGCAGCAAGTCTATTTTTAAAACAGAACTGACTACAGTACAGCGCAGAGTTTTGCATCTGTTATGTCAGGTCTGCATATTGTGAAAGGAAGCTTTTATATTAAATGATTAATGATTAATTAATCTCTGACTGGTTATCCATGCCTTGCCACTCTTTCAGTTGGTCTTTCATTAAACACTCAGGGTAACGGGAGCAGTGACATGGCTTGATAAAAACTGCAGTACGAGCTCTGTGGGCCTCTTCTGCCGTCACTACAGAGACCAGCCAGCATGCGTCTGTCAGATGACCTGGTTTTCCCAGCTTCTGCAGCCAAACATTCAAACCTGTAGTGACGATGTGTGGAAACGCGCTGTGTCCTCCATGTCCCAGCTTATCCCACTGTCACGCCCCCCCCCCCCCTCACCTGGGAGTGCGGATATGACCCCACTGGTGGCCTGGGGTCTCCAGGAGGCTCGATTCTACTCAAGCAACCATACCACCACCAGCCTGGTTCACAGACACAGGCTCTCCAGTTAGAAATACCTATTGTCCCGTTTTTTAACAGGACCACCCCATATTCCATATTGATGTGCCTCGTTTTAAATCAATATTTTGTGACCCCCCTCCCACCCCCGGCAAATTCCCATATTCCTGCCGATTGAAAGTGGTAGTCCCACCTCCAGCTGATGTTGGTGAGAGTCACAGTGCACTGTGTTTTTTTTGTTTTTGTTTTTTTTTGGGGGGGGGGGTGTTTGGCACACAGTGGGGGCCATGCGTTTATGTCATGCCGAAAGCATTCTAGTTATTAACAACACAAACACTTTCCTGGGGTCCCACAGCCCGAAGCGAACACGTAAATAAAATCAGCAGGAACGCTTCAGACAGGATGTGGAAATTCAGGACGACATGTAGCCACGTAACTGTTATCCGCCCCACCCCCCCCACCCACCCAGATACCAGCAGCCATCACGTCATTCTTCAATTGGGGGGGGGGGGGCAGCGTGTTCTCAAAGTGCCCCCATAAAACGGGCTAATCAGCTAATTAGCTTTTTATGGAAGCAAGCTGAATATCGGACAGTAAGCTGATCGGCATGCTGCTTTTTGGGGGGTGGGGGGTGCTTTTTGACCTGCAGGTGGGACATTGAGGCCCCAGCCTAACACAGGTGTCCTTAGACGGACCTGGCAACACGTTCAGCTCGTCAGGATTTACAGGGTGTGTGCCCCAGTGCCTGCTACACCACAGGATTTACAGGGTGTGTGCCCCAGTGCCTGCTACACCACNGGATTTACAGGGTGTGTGCCCCAGTGCCTGCTACACCACAGGATTTACAGGGTGTGTGCCCCAGTGACTGCTGCCCCATGATGATAATAATAGTAATCATAATAATGTACCTCAGGTTCCTGTGGACCCCCTGTCACCCCCTGAATCTGAATCAAACAGATTTTTATTGGACAAGTATGTTAAACAACAAAGCTATCTTGATGGGTTAAGCCCCAGTTTATAACATATAACTTGCGAGAAAGTTTCAAAACAACAATGCAAAAAATTTAAATCCAAAGAAGTATAATTTTTTTATACATGTATACAAAATTCTAATTTCATTAATAAACTTATAACACATCTTGTGAATAAGATTAATTTGCCTGCATTTAGGCATATTGTCTTATTTTAGGAAATCTTACCATTTGCAATTTTTTTACTGCACTGGCAGATAATTTTGCCAGTTTTAGGCCGTCTGGTGTCAAATAAGTTTTTTTTTTTTGCAGTGAACGTACACGTGAAATTTTAAGCATACTTTTATACTTGACTGTCTACCTAGAGTAGAGATGGAATGAAGTGTGAAATAAAAATAGTGATGTAAGTAAATAGTGGGTGATGCTTTGGTGATGTTAGCAGGCCAGTCACTGTTGGTGAGGGACAATGGGAACTGTCCCTATACACAGTGCATTCTCATCTGCTTCAGAAAGTACTTAAATTCACAAACCACAGACACTGGTCAGGCTGCCAATATCATTAGTGATCACGACGAACATTTGCTGATGTTCATGACCCCCATCCCCACCGCCTTCGGGGTCTTTGTTAGATTAACAATAAAATTGTATTAGAGTGTATGTGTCCCGGCACCAAACACATAGCGGTACATTCAGAGGAGGTGTGCGTCTCCGAGCAGTACAGGACGTCGGCCTGCAGCGCTAATGTGTGCGATCGCTTGATAGCAGAGGGACGCCTGACCTCACCATATGAGGGAAAGCGGTATGTAGGAGCCTGAGCCTCCAACATGGCCCCCGGGGGCCCTGTGCCAAGCCGGGGGGCCCCCGCTGCTCGCTCACTCATGCGTTTGATGGGCCCCGCTTCTGCAGATCTAAACACTGAGGCTTCCCCAAACATTACCTTTTTAAGGCTTTCTCTGCGGGCAGGGAGCTCTGCCCCTCCCCCCCCCCAACTCTCTGCCATGA